AGACTGCTGCAAGGTGCCTGTCTCAGTGGGCCAGTGACTGTCATGCCACCTCCCTCTGGAGTTGCCCTTGTCTAGACCCAGGATATTGAGGCTGCTCCGCTCCACAGACAGAAGCAAGGGGCTGAGGCTTTGGCCCTGAGCCCCAGAAAAGATGACTGGTGTCATTTTAAAGCAACCTCCAGGCCCAGGCCAACCTCATACCCAGCTGGGTCTCTGCTGCACGTGAACTTAGTCCCCACGAGAACCTGAGCTGAGCCGTGGCTCCAAGGAAGCAACGTTTGCATCGTTGGTTGCAATGAGAGTGAACAGGAGTTTGCCATCAGACTCACAGAGGATGGACTTACTCCCCTCCAGCAGAGTGAGGGTCCTGGGGGGTCAGCAACAACTCTTCCCGCAAAGGGGTCCCTGACAGTAAATCACCCCAGAGTCAACGTCATGCTGGCAAGTAAGAGAGCACTTACTCTCTTGCAGAACCCGGCACCTCCCTGCTTCACCATTGGTTTTCAGAACTTTGATTTAAAACTCATCTGTCCACACAGCCTGCAAGTTCTTTTGCAGCTAGGGAGGGAGCCAGCTCTGGGTGCCCCCCCAGTGCTCCATGCCCCGCACCTCCTGCCTGGGCTCTCCCCCAGCTTCCAGCACAGCCCCTGGACACAGACCGGCACTGTGACCCTGGGCCATCCAGGGCAGCCAGCCGCTGTGCAGACCCCATGGAATGGGCTGGGGGTGTGTGTGTGTGTGATGGAACTGGGGATCCTTTCTGCTGCCTGGAAAGGAGACTCTTCACGGCCCCCCACTTCTCCACCCTCCTCCCAGGCTTACTCACTGTGTAGTGGGGTCCTCTGGGATGAAGGGGCATCCCACACCCTTGGCCACGCACCCCTTCTTTGTGCAGGAGCCCTGGCCGGCCACCTGTTGTTAATCTAGGCCTGGTAATCCATTCTGCACTGTGTCAGCAGTTCAAAAGGGCACTGTTAGTATTTTTTGCCGACTTCAATTAACGTGAGATTTCAGAGGCCCCTCTGATCACATTTCATCTGTCACCAGTCAGGAACAAAACAGACAGGTTCCAGTTGAGAGGAGGAAGGAGAAGGAGTTTATTGCAAACAACAGCCAAACAGACAGTCTGGGGTGTGCCCAGCCAAGGCTGCTCTGGGAGCGTCCAGCTGCCTCCGCTCTCCGTTTGGCTCCGTGCCTAGGCCCCAAAGTCCCCTTCTCGTCAGTGTCGCTCCCCTCTCCCCGAAAGATGTAAGTGCAATAACTTACTTTAAAAGGCAAGAACCTTTCTTTTAATATTTTGCTATAATGTAGTTACATGGTGGGATAGGCAGTAAAACTTTATGGAACCGACCTCATTTTTTTTTATACATTTTTTCTGAATGTTTAATGTATTTTTAATATATATTTTTAATATTCCACCCCAGGCCATTAAGCTAAAGGAAAAAGTTGCGTCTATACAGGGTTAAACTATCTTACAGTGAGAACAGTCAGTACTGGTTGAGGTTCATGTTCTAGCACTCAGCTCTCCTATCCAACCACCGCACGCCCAAACAGGTTAACAGACATTGAAAACTGTCCTTCAAAATCAGTAGTATAAAGGCCTAGCTCTATGTATGTAAGTGAGGGGAGGAGAGGCAGGGCGTGGGTAGGTAACGATTTCCCGCGATCTGTCCTCCCTACAGCACCCTTAACGGAGTGAAGTGGGGTCCGTGTGGCCTTGGGAATTCGCCTCTGTGTTCCCTTCTCCTTTCTCTTTGGCAGCCATGGATTGTCCTGGGGGCCAGTCACTGGCAGCCACCCTCCCTCAGCTAGGCCTGTATGCGTGGCACCCAACAGCCCAGGCTGTCTGCCAGGTGCTGCCCCCACAGGCTAGCCCAGAGAGCGTGGCCCGTGAGCAGGTAGCCTGGTAGTGGCCCTGCGCAAGTTCCTCCATCCCTCCGGCCAAATAGGGGCAGGTGGGGTACTGGAGCTGGGCCTGGAGTGGCCACGGCAGCGTGGGCTGGGACTCACCGCACCACGGCTGACCCCACCCCTCGCGGGGTCTCTGAACTAACCCGGCCACTGCGTGTTCCAGAGATGGAGGCACGGTCGTAACAGCAGAGCATCAAGTATCATTGAAAAGATTCAAGGAAAGTTCCGAAGTCTGTGTCCTCCAAGTGCCACCGAAGGCCTGGGGACAAGCCTCTCTGGGTGACCCCAGCGCCTCCCCTCCCAAGCCCGGGAGCAGTGATGGCGCCTGAGGGTATAGCAGCACCTTAGTGTCAAGCCTCAGCCTCCTTCGAGACCTGTTCCCAGCGGGAGTCAGAGGCTGTCCGGCTGGGGAGGCTGCTCAGACCAGCCAGCTGCCCCTCGGTCACTCCTGCACAGCGCTCTGTTGCGATCTTAGGCAAAGAGCCAGAGGCCACCCTCACCTGGTTTAGCTTATTCATTGCCAGGCCACAGAGCAGGTAGCGCGCCTGTGCTGGCCACAGGAGACCTAGCTACGCAGGAGGAAGCCAGTGGCCACAGAGCTGCCCAAGCTTGCTAGGTTCCAGCCGTTGGTGCTGAGGGCCTGCCTTCCCCCCGGCAGGCAGAGGCCTGGGCGCAACCAGGGAAGAGCAGTTGAAGAGCTGGGTCTGAGTCTGAGTCTCTGAGTGGCCCAGTGGTGACATGTGAGCCTCCTCACAGCTTTGCCTCTTGTTAAACTGGGCTCAGGGCCGCCCTGGGGCTTCTCCCCTTCCTGGTGAACGGTCTGGAGAAAATGGAGGGTTTCTAAGCTCCTCCCCAGCTCAGTGGCTGTTAAGTGACAGGCAAGGTTCCCTAGAGGGCTGGGGTAGGTAGGGGTGGTTTCCACCATTTCAGCCTCAAATACTCGGCTGTGTTGGGACAGGCACTCAACCACGGAGCCTTCTATTAGAAGCTTTTTCTCAAAAGCTTTCTGGTTAAAATTTGCCTGACTTAGGTCTAGCTCAGTGCGAAGCAGACACATGGGGATTGAGCACCGGGCGTCACTTCCAGAACAGTCTCCTTGGAGCATCCCCCGTCTCCCCTCCTTCTCTGAGAAGCTCTGTGCTGACTCCTGGGTGAGGACAAACCACTGGCAAAAGTGCCAGTCACGTCCCTCCGGTCCCTGGACTATGTAAGAAGGACTTGGGGAAATAGTCCCCGACTTGAGCTCTTGCTTCCTTTCCTGTTCCAGATTAGGGGGAATCTGAGCAATTTCAGTGAACCTCAGAATTCAGAAAGTCTTCCTAAGACTCTTTCCAAGATCCTCAAATACATAAATGCTGAAAGCCAAGCCTTCGGGAAAACTTAATTCCATATCCAAGACCCCTTCCACTTCTGTGAGACCAGTCCAGAGCTACGGTTCACAAAGAGGTCTGTGAGGGCGGCCAAAGCACAGCCTTCTCTGGTCCGGGTTCAGGAACAGATGAGAACGAGAGGTACACTGAGGGACCCCAGAACCTCGAGCAGCTCAAGGACAGGGCATCTACTCTCCACCCACCCCGTGTCCAGGCCCCCAGGCCTGCTGGACCTGGCTTTCCCCACCGCCAGGGGCTAGGTAGAGGGTAGAAGGGGTGGGTGCAGCAAATCCCCAAGTAGCATCATTCCCAGGGGGAAAATACCCCAACTGAAGCTGAGCCAAGATGTTCTTCCATCAAACACTATTTCACCTAAAGTCTTATTTCCAAGAACCTATCAACGACATTAGCGAGGTCTTACTGTACTTCCCCCCCAGGGGCTCCTGGCTGGAGGGAATCCCCACACACTCCAGCATGCCGAATGGCCTCCTTAGATGATGGTTGCTGGACTCTACATGCTTAGGGCCACCTGGGAACTCTCAGGTCAGGCAGACGCAGCTCCCCTGCCGAAGGAGGGCCCTTCTGGCAGGCAAGCCTGACCTGGGGAGGAAGCGTGCCCCCACATCTGGAGCTGAGCAAGTGACCCAGAAGAGCTCAGATCGTGAGCCCTTCCAGAGACCAGCCAAGAAGTGGGGCCTCCCAGCCCCCTCTGCCCTGTGCCAGGAGGAGTAGCCGAGTCCCCACCCACACAGAAGGATCCAGAGTCCCCACACAGCACAGGCAAGGCTGAGGCCGGAGAGGAGGTGTCTTCCAGCAAATCCCCTGTGCGGCCCTTGGCCTTCTGCCATTGCAACCCCAGGCCCCCTCCCCACTCCCCCCAGGCCAAGAAACTGCTCAGCAGCCCCAGCAGGTGATCAGGACAGGCGTGTGCGCATGGGGGACAAAGCTACCCAGACCTGCCCTCCAGCTGCACCCTGCCTGAAGAGGGGTACCAGGCGGCTGCAAGTGTGTGCACGCACTGTGCCTGGCTGACCCGCACGGGAGTGAGCAGCTCCCGGCCCTTCCTTTCTCTAGAAGCTTTTCTTCTTCCGATACTGACACTGTGGGTGCTGTGGGGGTCTCTACCTCCCATCCCCTCCCTCCCTCCCTGCCCCCCCGCAGTGCCACCCAGACCCAGAGTCTCTGGGGAGCCAGGGAGTGGGAGCGCAGCCCCTGCGGACGGTCCGTCTTCCTCCACGCCAGCTCGGCTGGCACAGCAGGGCTCTTCAGCTGCTCTCTGTGCATGCCCTCCCCCGGGTGTCGGCCGGGGACAGCCGGACAGGGTGGCCAGGCCCCATGGGGCGCCTCACCATTCCAGGTGAAGGGGAGGCAGGTGTCTTGGGTCCAGACCAGACTCCTGGGCTTTTAGGAAGGGAAAAGGAGCTGGAAGGGCAGGAGGTCAGCCTGGTGGGCAGCTTGTTCTTCAGACAGCAGTGGGCCTGGTGACAGGGTGACCCCACTGAGGAGGAGGAGCGGTGGGCCCGGCTGGGTCTGGGTGGGAAGCTAACCGGGCCTCAGGGGTCAGACCCGGCAGGGCAAGGAGCAGGTGTGGGTGTGGAGAGAGGGTCTTCAGCTTATAATGGATGCAAAGCTGCAAAATTCGGCCACCTGGCTTTCTCCTCTGCAAAATTCGGCCACCTGGCTTTCTCCTCCTGCCAAGAACAGGGGTCCCAGCCTCAGTGCCAGGGAGGGGCTGGGGCCTGCTGCCCCCTCCCTCCCCACAGTCCATGGGGCCTCAGACTAGGGGTGGCTGAAAGTGCTGAGGGTCAGGCCCCTGGCCCAGGCCAGGTTCCTAAGAGGAAAGTCGAGTGGGAGGCTGGGGGCCCGGAAAGCATGGGCGTGGCCAGTGCCCCGAGGTGGGGGAGGGCGCGGAGGAGGGGGCGGGGCCTGTCATGTGGCCCAGGAGATGGCGGCGCTGTGCTCCTTGGCCTTCATGCGGAGGGCCGCGATGCTCGAGGTCTTGCGGTCCGGCTCGCCGTTGAGCTCGTAGCCATTGAGGCCAGGGCTGAGCCCCGCCGCCCCGAACAGGCTGCCCATGTGCGTCTGGCCCACGTGGCTGCCCGCCCCGGAGACGCTCAGGAAGTCGGAGACGCCGCTGGCGCCGGAGCCAGGCGGGTGCGCGTGAGGGGACATGCAGGCGGGCACCGGGTCGCAGGGGACCACGCAGGCTGGCACCGGCGAGGCGGCCCCGTTGTTGCCAATCCAGGATGGGTTCTGAATCTGGGGAGAAGGAAGCGAGTCAGGGCACAGGCCCGCAGAGTGGGGGGTAGGGGTGCGGGGGGTGGGCGCAGGTGAAAGTCAGGGCTTTCCCAACCCCTTAAATGCCCTCCCCCACTCACAGCCCGTTTGCAGGACAGAAGCATTCGCGAGGGTTTAGCTGGGAGACTCTGAACATCTGTGCTGCCATCCAGGTACCCCTGGGAGGGTTTGGGGTCAGTGCTTTGGGGGCCCTATTCCCAGGGCCCGGCCAGCGGCAGACAGGAACTCCACTTCAAGGACTGAGCTTGAGTCCATATAAGCAGCGAGGGCCGAGGGCACCCCCGCGGGAGCCAGGCTGAGTTTCTGCTTCAACACAGCTGAAGGTTTTCTCTCTCGGTCATGGACACCCAGTGTCTGGTCTTACACACCTCCAGCTACCCCTGCCCATCATTATCCCAGGTCCCCAATAAACAGGAGCCAATTACAGCCCAGGGAGCTCTGGCTTCCGGCATCTGTGCTCTGGCTTGCTGCTTCTGGTGAGGCCAGTGGGGAGGGCAGGGGCCCTACGTTCTCCCAGCGCCAAGGCCAGTGGCTGAGGCTCCAGGGTGTGGTGCCTTGAGACCTGGGCATTACCTCAGGGTGGGACGGGCTGCTCAGGAGGTGCTGAGCCCCCTGGGGCAGAGGGAGCCAGGCCAGGGCCCCATATCAGGGCATGGACATGCGGGGCCAGCGGGGGGGTTCCGGCTGGACTGGACGTTTTATCTTTCATCTGGGCAGCTGGAGTCCTTTTCCTCCCCAGTTCCCCCCAGGGCACGTAACTGTCCTTTAAGTGTTTATGGGGAGGTAGAGTGGGATGTGGAGGGGCAGGGCGTGAGGGACCAGCTTTGAGGGGGAGATGCTATGACCTCGGTGACCCTCAGGGCTCTGCTGGCCCCCACCCAGTGTTTGCAGTGCACGCTGGAGGCATTTAGAAGCTGGGTGAGGGGGACACTGCCCCAGCATCCCGCAAGGCATTGTCCTAGCAGCGAGATCTGCTCCCCGTGTTCCTCCCTTCATAGTGGTTTGTGGGGTGGGAATCGGCCCCCCAGCCTCTCCTAGGGCCATGCCATGTGCTGTGCTCTAGATGAGCGGGATGAGCACTGGGTTGTGTTTCTGCCTCCGGCCTGGGCGCTCAGGCCAAAATATCAGGGCCAAGGAGCCAGCCCTGGAGGCCCGTCCCCTGGGGGGACAGAGGCAGGCTGGGCTCAGAGAGGGAAAGAGTGTAGAACGAGACAGGATGTGTGCATGCAGTCACCTTCACCCCCTCACCTGCCCCTCGACTCTTCCCACATGAATCCTGGGGCAGAGCTTGTCCTGGGGACCAGAGCTAGCACAGCCCTCGGACATGAGCAGGAAAGGAGGCCCAGGCAGGCCTGGGGCTGGACGGGGCTGGGCTGAAGGAGACCTGGGAGGCAGGAAACGGCACCTCTGCAGGGCAGGTTGGACTCGGCCCAACATCCACCCCTCAGGTGTCCTGGGCACCGATGTGACTCACACTCCTGGTCCCTTTGCCTGTCTCTGAGGACTCCAATGCCCTCGTTGGGGGACTGGCTGCCAGGCATCTAGGGAGGTGCTCTGGGTGGGGTGGCGGAGCTGGCAGGGGAAGCTGGGTCCCAGCTGTCCAGGCACACTAGCCTGTAGACCCACAGGACGCGTCTTCATGCCAACCTGGCCTCACAGCAACCTCACAAGAGTCAAGGCAGCTACTTTCCTCACATCCAGTTTACTGGCGAAGAAACCGAGTTGCTGACTGGAGAAAGATGGAGCACTGGGATGACTGCCTGGGTCTCGCTCAAGGAATTCCACCTTCAGACCAGCCAGTGTCCAAGTCCTCCAGGCTGCAGGACACCCCTTCCTAGGAAACCTGACTTGTGAGGGCTCCATGACCCCTGGCCTTTCCCTGCCTGGGTCCCATGAAAGTGGCAGAAGAAGCAGCAGGAAAAGCCCCAAACCAACCTTCCCTAGAGCCCAGCCACGTCGGGAACGCTTAGGCCAGACAGAAATGGCGCCCGTGTTCTAGTATCAGCGGCACACAAGCTGGAGGAGACCTGCAGGCAGCTTAGAACAATTCCTCCCTTTGCCAGGGAAGGTGCCAAGGCTGGGCCGGGACACGCAGCTCTGGTAGGAGCTTACCTGGGCATAGTTCTCAGCTCGGGTGAGGAGCGGCAGCTCGTAGGCAGTGGAGAAGTGGGTTCGAACCTGCTGCATCTGCCCGAAACGCTCCCTCTTCCTCCACTTGGCCCTCCGGTTCTGGAACCAGACCTAGAGAAGAGAGCCTTGGTCACAGGGTCGAGCCAGGCGGCAGGCCTCGCCTCGGGTGATGCATGCACACGTCCTGCCCTTGACCCCTGACCTGCCGTCGAGCAGTCAAGTCCATGGGCGACAGTGAGCATCCGCCTCAGTCTTTCTCCTCGAAAGCTCACGGCGTAGTCACTGATGCTGAATCTGGAACTTACAGCTCATAGGTGTGGCCGTGGGCCAGTAACTGCATCGTTCTAAACTTGAGAAGCTAGAGCAGGCCTCTGTCTGTCGTGCCTTTCCCTCTTTCCATGTTAGCAGTCCTCTTTGGCAGCCATCTAACCGACCCAGCGCAGCGCGGCCTGGCCTGCCGTGGACCACAGACTCCTACGGAGAACAGCTCCCTGGGCTGTTGCCCCGACTCGGAATTCCAACCTTCTGAGACCCTATTTGCAGCTCTCTGTGGTGTAGCACCTCAGGTCAGAGCCCCGCAGGTCAGAGCCTCCTGGGGGTACCAGCTTGAGCTGCATCAGGGACTGTGCTTGTAAAAAGCGGGTCCGTCTGGGACACTGGACGTGGGGACAGAGCCCATTTGGAGCCCACTTGGGGGACGAGGTGGGCGAGACAATCATGGGAGCTGGCTGTGCAGGTCCCGCTGCCCAATGGTGCTTCCCTAGTGACCGCTGCCATATCCCACTTGGATGAGCCACGGGTGCTGAGGAAGCAGGGTGGGAGGGGCTTCGGGTGGGCTGGGGGCCTTCTGGGGGTGCGTGGTGGTCTCGGGGTCAGGGGTGTGAGCCTCGTGGTGGTGGGGAAGGGGCTGGGGCCTTTATCCTCTCGCGGGAGCTTTTCCACAGGCTCAGAACAGACCTGAGCCTCGTGGGCAAGAACTGGCCTTGGCCTGCTGCCCGGGCCTGTGGCTTGGGATTGGGGGAGGGAGAGAGGTAGGACCGGCATGAGGGGAGGAGAGCTGGCCTCTGCTTCCGGGCCAGGGGGCGCTTCAGGCCTAGTGAAGGCCGACCCTGACCCTCCACCGAGAGCAGGCCCTGCCAGCTTGCTTGCTTGCACCAGCCCACGGTGCAGACAGGCACCTCAGAAAGCTCACAGCCAGCTCACAGCCAGCAGCCTTGAGGGCAGGGAGCACGGAGCAGGGACAAGGGCCTTGGCTGCAGAGACCAAGAGCAGGCCGGGGGCCTGAGAAAACTGCTGTCCTCAGGCGCATGCCACTCCATATCCACCGTGATTAGAGCTGCCGCAGAGTTCCAGAAACATCTCTGGGCTGGCAGCACCCAAGTTGGTCCGAGGCAGGCTGTGTTCCCCACAGGGGTCCTGGCACCCGGCCTGTTAGGTTTCTAGTGTGCCGGGGAATAGTGCCTGTGGGAATCCTGGCATTGACAGTGGTCTTCGTTTCTGCTTCTCAAAAATGGGACCCACGTCTGACCCCTCCTCTCGAGGGTGGAGCCTCCCCCGGCAGCAGGGGAGCTAGAATCCCTGGCTCAGACCTTTGAGGCGCCTCCGCTCTTGTTTATTTATAGCTCTGGCCTTGCTCGCTGTCTTTTGCTAGAGGAATGAGGTTAAAAAAACCCAGTGCGCCCCAAGTCACACACTCTTTCCTCCCTAGCCGCAGGTATGCACTCACGTGTGGGCACGTGCCCACACCACACACGTGCGGCCCCCCATTTCATTCAGAATCACCCGTCTCTCCCTCTGGGCTCCCGGACTCCAGGGGTTCAGGCCTGGCGCCTGACTGGGAGCGAAGGGCACATCAGGTCTCCCCTCTGTGCTGCTGAAACGGGATCCCCTTTATCAGTGGCCTGGAGTCAGGGGCTGGGGGCAGGAGAGGATGAATGAGAGGAGCTTGTTCTCATCATGTTTCACGTCCTGCAGGCTTAGCTCCGTCTCTCCACGGCTTCCTCGGCCTCCCAGGGTTTTCTGTGGGGGTGCTGGCAAGCGGGGAGCCCACTAGAGGCATCAAGATAGATGGCGTCTTTCTTTCTTTGAGGGGAGGGAGAAGGTGAGCTGCCTCCACTCCCTGGGTAAGGGGTTCCCTTGAGCCCCTGGGGACTCTGGGTCCATGTGGTGGGAACCCCCGCGGGCACTGTGAAGGTGCCAAGGGAGCTGTGCCAGTGAGAGAGGGGTAGGGGTGAGGGGAGGGGGCCAGTGACCCGGGGAGGGGCCTAGAATTGAGGCAGGGTTGAGTGGAGGGGGGGATGGAATGTGAGGGGCTGAAGCGGGGTGTGGGGGAGGAAGGGGCAGGGAGCGAGGAGCCTGAGGAGCTCCCAGTTATCAAGGGAAGGTCGATGAGCTGGCTGGGGAGAGGCTGCAGCGATAGCAGGTCTTCGGGAAGGGTGTGGAGCAGGGTCAGCTGAGTGATTTATTCGAGGGTGAGAGATACAGATTGTGGGAGGCAGCTGTGGGGTCACAGAGCTGCCCTCTTCTCCCTCCTCTTCCAACGGCCCCCTTCTGCCCCTCTCCCCCAGTCTGGCAGCATGTACAAGGCCAGGGTTCTCCTGCTGGGATCTGAGGCTGAAGCTCAGTTAACCTCACTGGTGCTCAGTCTCCTCAAGCAGAAGCTGGGGGTGGCAGGGGGATCCTCGCGGACCCCTCTGTGCTCACACCTTTGGCTCCTGAGTCCTTTCCCTCTCTAATCTCTGAGAACTCCCCCCTCGCCTCTCCCGCCCCCCCGCCCCCCAACTAAGCTTCTCCCCTCCGGGCTCTGGGCTTCAGGCTGCTCCATCCATCACGCAGCCCTAGAATGGGAGCTGGCCCTGGCCTTCCGTTGTGCATGCTGTGTCCAGGACCACCCCGCTCCCAGGCCCACCCCAGCCTGGGCCCACTCAGCACAGGCCTCTCCCCAAGGAACCAACCGTCTTGGCGGAGGCCTCACTAACCGCAGCCCATCTGGGGCCAGGGCGGGGTGGCCAGGGTGTGGAGGCCTCTGTCTTATTGTCTTCAGACACCAGCTGCGGAGATTGGAATCCCAGACAGCAGAGAGAGGCCCCTGCAGCCCCCTGGAGTGGGGCCAAACCCCAAGTTTCTTCCCAGGAAAGGTCCTCCTCAGGGGGGCCCTCGTCACCCTCGCTGTCCCCACCACCACTCTGCGCCCGGCACCTGGCTTCCCACCAGCTGAGTATGGCCCAGAACAGCACAGTCCGGGGGCTTCCAGCCCCACTTCCTATACCCCTCCGCCCCCAGGGCACTGCCAGGCTCAGGGCTCCATTCAGAGGTCTGACGCACAAGGAGATCCCACCCACCCTGCTGCTTTATACAGAGAAAAGTCTCGGAACAATCTGGCACATGTCCTGGTACAGCAAACTAGTCAAAGAAGTGGGAGTCCCAGATTCTGGTCTGCGCGCTGCCACCACCCACTCAGCGCAGATGATCCCATCCTACCTCCAGGCCTCTTCTTCCTCCTTATCAAATGAGAGGACCAGGTGATCCTCTCCAGCTCTGACACAATTCTACGATGTCTTGTCAATGCAAGACAGGGTTTCCCTTTCTGCCTTGGCTGCCAGGAAACTCATGGTTGGGGTTTGTGCTCAGTGGCAATGAAGATGCTTGACCTACACTTCTGACAGAGTTCTGTCCCGTTTCATGACGTTGTTTTTGTTCTTAGCTAAAAATGATTGATCTTTAATTAAACACTGCTTTGACACCTTTTAGGAAGTGAACACGGGTGTTTGTATATGTGCGTGTGGAGAGAGCGAGCAAAATCCTCCATTTTGGCTGTCGGGTGTTTGCAAAGTGTTAGGCCTGTCCGGTGTGGTATTCGGGCGGGTCTGGTTTTGGGAAGGGTGGCCTTCTTTCAACCCTAAGTGAATCTACTCCTGGACCCACTCGTTAGGGGATATCTACCTGTTCACATAGAACATGTGGGCTCCTCCCCAAATATTCGCCAGGCACTAGAGAGGAATAGTGGGCCGCCTGGCTTGGGGGACTCACCATTAAATGGCGTGGCCATGCAGAGTCCCTCTGCAGTTGCTAGACAGCTTCGTATTTACTAATGACAGGATCTTTCGTCATATTTGCCATTTTGGATGAAGAAGCCTCTGGATTATATTACAGGTGTCTCTGCCTTATCAAACAGAATCTGAAAACTACTTTGCTGAAGATTCTTCAGTGAACTATTGCAACAGCGAGTGCCTTGGAGAACTGCTGAGTCATGTTGGGGTCTCTCCTGGCAGGGGAAGGCCCTGACTGCTGAGCTAGCCCATGTCAGCTGAGGGGTATTTTAATTTAAAATTAAAAATTTTCTAGTGATCAAGCTTTGATCTCCCTAGCCTACTAGAGGGGGGATTCCTTGCTATTTGCCACACCATATTTGCTACTTCTAACGAGCTTTGGGACGATAGAAAAGCTGATTGAGTGTGAGTATTTTGTGTTAAGCTGAAGCTCGGGATTCAGGTGATCTGTGCATCAGGTTCTCAGGTGTCTTTGCTTCCTTCTGGGTTTTTCATGTAAGAAGGGGCATGCACCTCTCTAGAAGAGGCCATAGTCCACAAATACTCATTTTTTGCCTTTGTTGCTCTGAGTCTGATCTTCTCTACTGGGTAGGAATACAGTGATAGACAGACAGTTCCTGCCCACCAGGAATTCACAGTCCAGTGGGATGAAATAAACAAAAAAGTGTAAGCCAGTTGCAATTTCCTCAAAGATAAAAATAAGAAAAATGTGCTAGAAGGTCATTTCAGTTGGTTGTGTTGACTTGTGTTGGGTTGTGCTCAGCTGTGCTGCAATGATTCTGTTGAACTGTGACCCACTGATTCCAGTTGGGTTGTTTTGGGTTCTGTCTTGGGTCGGGTGGTGGTGGAGGGGTTTGAGCTGTGTTGGATGCTGTTGTGTTGGGTTGTGTAGATTTCTGTTGGGTTGTGTGTTCGGTAGTTGGGTGATGGTTATGGGGCTGCTGCTTCAGCTATGGTGGTCAGGAAGACTTCTCAGAGGAGGTACATTGAGATGGGACCTGAATGAAGGAGGAAGAGGCAGCCATCTTGGACAGAAAAAAACCTGGACTGTTTTCTGATTCTACCCATTCAGCTCTGTGGTATCTTCACTTTATCTAAGAGAAGCACCTTCTAGAGTAGAAGCCAAGCCAAGCACCCTTCTATTTCATAGAAGGACCTAGAAATACAACTGGCATGTCACTCTACTAGGGGACTCTCTTCCTTTCACTCTCTCCCAAGCAGATTTGCCCTGGCCAGAGTGGACATGTGAGACCGGGCTACAGGACCCTCTCAGACTTTCACTGGACTGACGTGAAGAAAGCTCTGGTGTGCGGGAGGACAGCTGGGCGCTCCCAGCTCTGGTCAGAGCCCAAGGCCAGGCCCTACCCGCTCAGCCCCCGTCTCAGGCAGCCCCCACTGACCTGCACACGGGCCTCAGTGAGGTCCGTCCTCATGGCCAGCTGCTCCCGTGCGTACACATCCGGATAGTGGGTCTTCTGGAAGACCTTCTCCAGCTCCTCCAGCTGGTAACTGGTGAAGGTGGTGCGGTTCCGTCGCTTCTTGCCCTTGTTGCTCTCTGAGTCGGCCTTCTCCAGTGGGCTAGGGAGGTCAGCGCTGGCCCGGTCTTGGGGCCCCTTCACCCCAGCCTCCTTCACACTGAGGTAGCTGCTCTCCATTCCCACGGTGTCAGAGTCGGGCGGTAACTCCGGCTCACCCAGGGAGCTCTCTTTGGCTGAGAGGGGAGGAAATAGGTCAGAAACCCATGACTGAATCAAGCAAGAGAGGAGGGGGGCAACGGGAGCACCCCTGCCTCTGTCCTCTCAGAGGTGCCCTGGGTGTAAGGTCAGAGAGCTGGGTTCTAATCCTGCTGTGCCGTCTCACCATTCCTCCTCCGCATCCCCCAACCCCCTTTGGTAGCCTCAACTGTGCAGCTGGATTTCTAGGGTTTGTTTTGATTTAGTTTTGTCTGTCCCTTTGCTTTGCTTCTCCACGTAAGTGAAATCATCACTATGTCTTTGTCCTTCTGACTTATTTTGCTTAGCATAATCTCCGGTTCCATCCGTGTTATTAAAAATGGCAATATTTTCTTTTTTATGGCTGCGTAGTACTCCATCATGTATATACACCACCTCTTCTTTCACTCCTCTGTGGTTGGGCACTAGGTGGCTTCCATGCCTCGGCTGCTGTGCACAGTGCTATGAAGGGCATCAGCGTGCATACACCCTCCCCGTGAGTGTTCTTCAAATAAAAGCCTAGAAGTGGAATCGCTAGGTCATGTGGTAGCATTTCAGCACCGATGTTATATTACTCTGGCTCAGCCAGTCTGACCTTTGTGACCCTTATCCTGACCCACTGACCCAGGGCTCCTCCCTCCAGAAGAACCCCCTGTGCCAGAACTTCTTGGAGTATCGAAGATTGTGGCCCAGTGCCTCAGACTCCCAGAATGGAAAGGAAAACTCATCATGTCTAGCAAGATGTGCTTGGGGTGAGGGATGAGGCCGGCCCCAAGGCAGAGTAGACTGCCCCTCCTTTCCTGGTCTGCTCCAGGGTTCAGCAGGAGGCAGAAGATGGCCCCAAGATTCCAACATGAGGGGTCACATGCCCTTGCCCTCCACAAGGGCCCCCTCCATTGTTCCAACAGAATCTTATCCCCTCGGGGCGAGGAGGGCTGTGTTTACTGGGGAAGCAGCAGGTCCCCCCCTCCCAAGATGCTGATGTGTACAGGCCACATAAACTCGTGGCCTCTGGCAGAACAGGGCTCTGCCGGCTAGACATGCTCAGAGCCGGAGCCGTCAAGTCAACCAATATAGGTCAAGGTTAAGGGGGCCCAGGCCAGGAAGACAGTGGGGTGGAGCAGCTGTCCAAGTCTGCTCAGCTCTGTGCTGGGCGACACCCTCGCCCCCGGGCAGAGGCTAGAACTGGCAGTGGAGCTGGGCACCAGGAGGGGGACCACAGGCGTGGCTGTCCAGCTGTGCACCCTGCATTACCTCTGGGCCTCAGTTTCCCCTCTCTCTAACCTGTAGGTGCTCCTGGGATAGCTATTGGAAGTACAGGGGCCCCCAAGGAGAGCACTCGGCACAGGGGGGCCGTGTGAGCTTGTGCCCACACGATCAGTCCCGTGGGCATTGGGAGAGGCCTCCAGGCGGGTGGGCTGTGCTGGGGCCTGAGAGTAGGAGCGAGCCTGGGCACTGTGGGGAGGGTGAGCTGGAGTCTGGAGGTAGGTGTGAGCCCACCGGAGCAAGCCCTTGTCTGTGACTTAGGGGAAAGGAGCAGGCACCTGATAAAACCTTCCACGTGCCTGAGCGCTGACCGTCACACACACGTGCAGTCCAGGTGCGTGCCAGCCACGCCAACCTTTGGCTTCCTCTCCTCAGTACCTGTCAGGTCTCCTGACTCCATCCAGGTGCTGCAGCTTTGCTGCCATCGCGAGGGAGCGGGGAGGATGCTGGAAGGGACATTTTGCCTCTGTCATTCCCACCTCCCTCTGCCAGCCAGAATGGGGCCAGAAGGGGGCCCGGGCAGCTTCTGGAGGCCACGCCTGAGGCCGCGGGGCTGGTGGGTGGCATCGCGGATGATGCCCGCGAGCCAGGCACACGCAGGCCGCTGCCGCCGCCTCAGTGACAGCTTGTGCAAACTGCAGCTGGCAACTGGGCCGAGAGCTTTCAACAAAGATATTTATCTTCCTGGCAGACAAATAAGTTTTATGTTTCTTTTTTTTTTTTAAGAGACAAAATCCCACCCAGCCTCACCAAAAATAAACATCTCTGTTATGCAACTTCCCGGAGACCAGACTGCGGGAGGGGGCAGCCCCTGCCTCTTCAGCCCCAAGCCTGCCCTGCAGGCGCCACCCCAGGACTCCATGGGCACTGATATTCTCTCGCACCCAGCCCAGGGGTAGGACCACCCTGCACGGTAGCAGGCACAGCGCCATGCATTGGCTGGTACCAGGCCAAACTCCCAGCTTTACCTGCAGGGAAACTGAGGCTGGAGAGGGCAGGGAATGTGGCTGACCAAGCAGAGGAGGCCCGTCAGTACTCGGGTGGAGTCTCTGCTCTCCCTGGTCTGGAGCCTCCCCTGGGGGGAGAGGCAGGGGCAGGAGGGACCCAGGGGTCTCACCGTCCTGCTGCGCTCACCCTGGGGCGGAAGGCAGGCCTCTGACGGTGAGGAAAACAGGGAGCCTCTGCCGAGAAAGGCCCCTTGAGTAGCCTCACGCTGCTGGTTCCAGGCTTGGCCTGTGGGGCGGTGGCAGGACATCTGGTCTTCAGGGGAGAAGTAAAAATCCCATTGGCCCGATTTCCTGCCCACCTGCTGAGACCAAGTGTGTTGGGGGAGGCAGCCCAGTGTGCAGAGACCACCAGACCAAGGCCTGGGAGATCGGTACTGGCCCATCTCTATCCAGCTCTGTCTGGCCGGTGTGTCAGGTGACTCCGTTCTGGTCTCACTTGTGAAGGACAGAGGCCTGCCATTCGGGGCCAGGGTGCAGAGATCAGGGCTCCACCGGTCGGGCTTCTCTCCCACCTTAGTCCACTGGGATCTTCCCCTCTGGAGCAGGGAGAAGAGGGGAGAGGATGGGGATTCATCTGGGTGCAGCAAAGCTCAGCTAACTGGACAGGCTTAGAGCTGGAGGGAATTCTGAAAACTGATGCTTCTGGCTCCTTAGGGAGAGGAAAAAACCTCCTCACCTCAGTCTCCAGTACTGGTTGGTCATCTTGCTTTAAAATTCCGAGGCTGGGTCCCTGATTTTAGACAAGAAAAATTTCCCCTAAGCAGCTCTGTGACCCGTGTAACTGGGAGTCAGAAGTGATCAGCCCAAAGATCCAGCAATCCCACACTCTGGGCACAGGCTTTCCCCTCCTCCCGCCCTGCAGCATCTCCGCAAAGTCCTGTGCACCGGGCTTGGCGACCGCGGGCTCGGGCCCCCGGGGACCGCAGGACCATCTGCCCTGAGACCCAGCCCATGTCAGTGCCTGTGGGCCTGGCTCATGGGACCCGGTTCTGAAGCATCTGGAGTCAGCTGCCGCACCTCCGGCGTCCTCCACCCCCCTGACTAGACAGTTGCAATCCCATGGCTGGTCCTGAGGTTCACAAGCCTGTGTGTGTGTATGGGGGGGTGGGGGTGGGATGGGCTCTGGTGCTGGGCCCCAGGCTGGCCTGCTAGGTGGCCCTGAAGGGCTGGGTGGAGAGCCAGCATGGTGACTAGAGGCTGGGTGCTGGCTGCACCCAGATGCCCTGCAGTGCCCTCCTCAACAAGAAAGCAAAGTAGGCACCCCACCATCTGGGCTGTTACTCTTGCCCAAAGGATACTACAGACCTCCTTGGTCGCCCCACGCCCACCCCCCCTCCAGCTATACCCCTGGAATGTTCCTTCTTTCCGGCTCGCGTCCAATATCGAATCGAGTGCCAGCCCCTCCAGGAAGCCCTCCCAGACTTCAACAACCATACCAACTCCCCCATTCTCTGCTCAGCCCTCCAATTGCTGTTTTTGAGCAGTATGTGATAAGGCCCTGCACGGTCATCTCCTCCTGTGGGATGTCAGCCCCTGAAGCTTTGGGACTTGAAGTCACTTGTCTCTTCCCAGTCCACGGGTTAGCACAGCACAGGGTTGGTGGTACACATGCAGGAAGCCACTGCTAAAGAAGAAACGATTCCTAAGAAATAAATATCACCGAGCTCTCACTCTGTTCAACGACCTTTATAGGCCTACGTGTGCCATGCCCCAGAGTATCTGCGGAAATGTTTGCTAAGTGGATGAATGAACCACTCATTCTGCAAGACAGTGAGGGGTGAGATGGACGGGACCCAGGAAGGGGCAGCAATGAAAAAAAGCTGCTTTTAATGGTTGGCGGCTGGGGCAGGAGGCAAAGATGAGACTAGGCAGACGTTGAAAGACGTCCTTGCAGGGAGCAGGAGGGAAACAGTGAAGGTCAGAGAGGCAGAGGGAGAAGCGAAAGGATGGGTTTCCAGAGGGGGGCTCTGGAACCTCAATGTCCGTGATATGCCAGGCACCAGCTCGGCACCCTCCTAGCCGTCACCCTGTGGAGGAGGGGGTGCTGAGACTCCCAGCTTGCCCAGATGCTGGACCAGTCGTCTCAGCACCAGTGGTGCTCAGTGCTGGCGAGAGTCTGAGCGGCACCAGAGCCCGGTAGGCTCAGGCAGCCAGCCGCCTGTGGGTCTGAGCTGCCTCTCCATGGGGGGAGAAAGCTCTGTCCCAGGTTGTGAGGCCCAAGACCAATCCTGATCGGCAGCTTCCTGGGGAAATGTCTTGATCTCGAAATAACCCCCAGAGCACTGGGAGGAACCCTGGCCAGAGTCTACGGCCTGGGGCTGTGATGCCATCGCAGCCCGCAAGCAAGCCACAGCCGGCATGCCCACTACTCCTGACTGTGGGAAGCATTCGGCTGCAGGTGGTGTGTGCGGTGAGGTGCCACCAAGGCCCCAGGGCCTCAGCCTGAGAAGCCACCCCCCCAACCCCTAGGATCAGGCCCCCCAGAGCTGCCTTGTCTGCTGCTGAGAAATGCAAGAAAATCCGTCCTGCATGTGCACCTATTTGTTCTGGTTCAAAACAGTGACATCCTGGGCCCTCCCCAGTGGTGCAACAGGTTAAAGCACAACACTGTGCAGCCAGTCTCCACGCCTCAGCAGGAGCTGGATCCCCACCCCGGGGGGTGGGGGGGTGGGGGGGCACATGGAGCAGCAGACCTCTCCTGACCCGCCCGCTGCTCCCCTCAGCAG